TAGCATCTCACCGGGAGTCTGTGTACCCTGGGAACCTGAGCCTGTGATCTTACTTGGAAGCGGGGTTTTTACAGATGTAATCAAAGCTAAAATGGACAGAGATATGCACTTGTGAAACTGACGTCCCAGATGGGAGCCCAGCTTTGAGTCCCGGCTGCCCTGCTTCCGATCCAGCCTCCCGCATTGCTGGCAGCCATCAGCTGCTAGAAGAGGCAGAGAGATTAGGTCTTGGACTTCTGACCTGTTTCAGACCTCTGGCCATGTGGGTGGTGAGCCTACACATGGAAGATCTCTCTTTTCCTTTGCCTTTTTATTTGAAAGATGGAGTTACAGAGAGAGGTAGAGACGAAAGAGAGAGAGAGAGAGAGAGAGGCCTTCCATCCGCTAGTTTACTCCCCAAATAGCCACAATGGCTGGAGCTGCGTGAATCTGAAGTCAGAAGCCAAGAGCTTCTCCCAGGTCTCCCGCATGGGTGCAGGGTCCAAGCACTTGGGCCATCTTCTATTGCTTTCCCAGGTGCACCATCAGAGAGCTGGATCAGAAGAGGAGCAGCCAGGACCCAAACCGGTGCCCGTATGAGATGCCGGTGCTGCAAGCCAGGGCTTTAACCCGCTGCGCCACAGTGCAGGCCCCGAGAATCGCTTCCTTTTGTTCCAAGTCACTCAGGTTCGGGTGTGTGTTATGGCAGCTGGAGGAGAGGACCACAGTTACAAGGGAAGCAGCGTCAAAGAGGGCAGGGGAGTCTCAAGGAGATCAAGAGGAGGAAGATCCTGCGAGAGAGGCAAGAAAGGCACAGGCAAAGAGAAGGAGGAAAACCCGGGAGCACTCACGCCGTGCTCTGGGGCCGACACGAGCAGGGCACTGAGAGGAGAAGGAAGCCAAAGACACTCCAGGAAGTTGATAACAAGGAGGGCGGGGAACTGGTTCTGGGACTTGGCCTCGTGGAGGTCACTGGTGCCCTTGGCCAGCCTAGCTTTAGTGGAATGACTGGCATGAGTTTCAGCAGGAGGGGTGAGGAGGTGCAGTTGGCAGTTAGACAAAACTTCCACTGTCCTTGACCTTGTGGTTGGCAGAGTGAATGTGAGCTTTCTCTTGCAGCCACTGAGGCTCAGTGGCATTAAAGGATTCATCCAAGGCCCTTGATAGACAGGAAGCAGAGGCGCCTGGGTCTTCAGGGACAAAGGTCTGTGTTCTTTCCATGTTTCCAGGTGGCAGGGATCTGAAGAATAAATCTTGGAGAAGGTTGGTTCTTGCCTGTCCCCAGATGGTGCAGGACCTTCCCAGGATACACCTCCATTGAAAGTTGAGCCATAACCTCACCTAGTCTTCCCCAGGGGGCAGAAGGCCCATCCGTATCCTCCCAGGTGTCCTTACTGGGGGTCAGAGGGAGCAGGGTGGGGACCTCATCCTAAGTAGTTAGCTGGGCTGATTCTTCTACTCCACCCCATGTTCTGAAGCAGGGGTTGAGGACTCTAATGGCTACTGGGGCTGGGCAGGCGACGTACTTATGAGAACAGTGGGCCTGGGAAATGAACAAGTCGGTGGGTGAACTTGAGCGTGAAGGCCCTGCCTAAAGCTGTTCAGGTTCTAGAAACTGGATGTCACCCTAAGGCTGGTGATGATGGGAACAACGGAAATGCCCATTCGTTGCTGGCGGGGACACACAATGGTACAGCCACTTTGGAAGCCTATTTGGAAGACATGTACAGACCACACAATCCAGCAGTCATGCTCCTTGGTATGTATCTGGATGAGCTGAAAACTTACATCTGCACAAAAACCTGCCCGTGGATGTAGATTGCAGCCAAAATTTGGGGGGTAGGCATTTGACATCGTGGTTGAGTTGCCACTTGGGATGCTTATACTCTGTATCGGAGAGCTTGAACTCAAGTCCCGACTCCATTTTCCACCCCAGCTTCCTGCTAATGCACACTCTGGTAGGCAACAAGTGACAACTCAAATGTTTAGGTTCCTGCTACCCACATGGGAGACTTCGATTGAGTTCTGGGCTCCAAGTGTTAGTCTGGTCCTGTCCCACGCTATTGTAGGCATTTGGGCCGTGAACCAGTAGATGGAAGATCTCCATCTGTTTCTGTGTTTCTGTCTCTGTGCCTTTCAAGTAAGAAGAAAGTAAGTTAAACATCTTTCTAAAACTTTTAAATAGTGGAAGTAACCAAGATGTGACCCTTTGGCAGATGGATAGAGAAATAAAACACAGTACGTCCAAACAACGCAATGTTATTCAGTGTGAAAAACAAATTAGTTATCGAGACATGGAGGAACTTGAAATGCACATTACAAGTGAAAGAAACCATCTGAAAGGCTGCTAATCCTTTGATTTCCACTAATTCTTTGATTTCCAGGGGTTGGGAGAAGCAGGCCTGGTCAGAGAACAGAGGGCTTTTAGGGTGGGAGACTGCTGGGGAGAGATATTTGCATGATGACAACCCGCAGAATATATAGTCCCCAGAGTGAACCCTGGTGTACACAGCGGTCATGGGGTGACACTGCTGGGTCAGGGCAGGTTCATTGCTGGTAAGGCATGGGCCACTCTGGTGCTGGCTGCTGTCCGTAGGGAGGCTGTGTGTGTGTGTGTGTGTGTAGGGGTGGAGTATGTGTGTGTGTGTGTGTGTAGGGGTGGACAGGGATACACAGAAAGTCACTGTCCTTTCTTTCTGCTGGGATCCTAAAATGGCTCAGAACACTTAGTTTAGTGAACAAACCAAAAACCTAGTGTTTCCCACCACATGTACTGTGGCTCAATCTGGTCCTGGCTCAGACACGTTAAGTGACCCCACCGTGGCGTGGTTCCATCCTCACACCCCTGACACACCTGGGCGGGAGCTCACCGGCACCGCCGATGTCTCAGGAAGACCATGGCTGAGGGCTGAGGAGACTCTGTCTCTCCCCGGCTAGACCTTGGCCCTCTCCGGGGTCTTCCACAGCTGTGGTGTATCAGCCACTTGCCATGATGTCACTGTACTGCCCGTCTTTCACCTCCTCTCCGGATCCACTGCACTGTGGCCTCCAGTGGAGGATCTGAGAGGAGGAGACACAGGGCAGGGGCTCAGAGCCCACTTCCTTCCCCTCAGGGTTAATTTCCGCTCCACCAAAGAGGGCTTAAGGTCTCTATGTAATCTACTTCAGGCTCCTGTGGCCACTCCTTCCCACCTGGGGAGGGATTAAGGTTGGTTATAGCTCTCTGCTTTTACAGCCCAGGACACGGCTCTGCGCCCTTTGTAAATGGTCCCTTTGTGCTGGGTTAAATAACGTCTGTCCAGAATGTCACAATGAGACCTTATTTGGAAAATGCATCTTGCAGATGTACTTAGTTACATTTAGATGGGGGCTTATAGATTTAGGGTGGACCCTGCGTCCAATGATGAGTGGTTAGAAGACAGGGTTGTGCTATGATGCAGGTGGAGACTGGACAGATGCAACCACGAGCCAAGGATTGCTGGCGACCACCAGGAGGGAGGAGAGAGGCATGGGCTGGTTCCTAGAGCCTCCAGAAGGGACCGATCCTGCTAACAGCCAGGGTTTAGGGTTTCTGGCTTCCTGAACTGTGAAAGCGAGACTTTGCTGTGGTTTGAAGCCAGCCAGTTTGTGGTGATTGTTACGGTATCCCTGGCACTTCCTGAGTGGGCCCTTGTGTCAGGCTTCCTTTCAGTCCTCCAAACTTGGGCAGGATTACTCCATCTGTTTCCAGTGGGGACCCTGGCTGGTAGGGCTCTGTAGGCCACCTCGCCTCCCTGAGGCCTTCCAGGACTCACATGGAGCCCCCCACTCTGTTCCCACCCTGCCCCGGCACTTTGAGGCCCTCCCTCTACAGCTCCACACGGATAGCAGCCTTATCCCTGCCTGATTTCATCAACACAAAGTCTCCGGGGCTCTGTCAACTGGTCTCTTGTCTTTGCCTGGTTTTTCCACCCAAGTCTCAGCCACTCCTAGGCCCAGTTCTACTTTTCTCCGCCACCAGGAAGCTTCTGGACTCCCCAGCCCACAGGGAAGAGCCGGAGTGTGCTTGGTGCCACACCGTGCATCCGCCACGTGGGGAGGCTCCCATTGATGGCTGTGTGTGCTTCTCCATGGCGAGACTGCCAGCCCCGTGATCACAGGGAGGGCCATAATTCTTTATTTGGGTTCCACAGGGCTGGACATGCAGGAGTGATGCACAGAGCCCCAGGTATGTCCAGAACCAGTGCTCTGGGAGGGGCAGGGGACCACCAGGGGAAGAAGCAGGACTTCCTGTTTCTTTTTCTTTCTTTCTTTTTTTTTTTTTTTTTGACAAGTAGAGATATAAATAGTGAGAGAGAGAGAGAGACAGAGAGAAAGGTCTTCCTTCTATTGTTCACCCCCCAAATGGCCACTGTGGCTTGAACTGCACCAATCTGAAGCCAGGAGCCAGGAGCTTCCTCCTGGTCTCTCATGCGGGTGCAGGGCCCAAGCACTTGGGCCATCCCAGGCCACAGCAGAGAGCTGGACTGGAAGAGGAGCAACCAGGACTAGAACCTGGCGCCGATATGGGATGCCGGCGCCGCAGGCGGAGGATTAACCAAGTGAGCCACGGCGCTGGCCCCAGGACTTCCTGTTGATTCATTTTTGAGAGGCAGAGCGACAGTGAGAGGGTAAGGTGGACGCAGACAGAGAGATCTTCCATCTGCTGGCTCACTCCCCTGATGCTCGTATCAGCTGGGGCTGGGCCAGGCTGAAGCCAGGAACCCAGAACTCCATTCAGGTCCCCCACATGGGTGCAGGGACCCAGGTACTCGGGCCATCCGCTGCAGCTTTCCCAGGCGCATTAGCAGGAAGCTGGATTGGAAAGTGGAGCAACCGGGACTGCTCTGATACAGGATGCCGGCATCACAGGCAAGAGCTTAACCCACTGTACCATCGCACTGGCTCCAGAACCAGAGCTTTCCAGGTTCAGGGAGAACGCAGGGCCTCAGCTCAGTGACCCCACACACTTGGGGCTTGCTGGCTTCCACCTGTTTGTGACATCACAGTAGGGACAGGGGCCTTTGACCGTAGTAGAATTCGGAGGACTCAGAGAGATACTGCAAGAGTCGGGAGAAGAGAAGCATCCTCTGCTCCCCAGTGGCATCTCTCTCCCTCCACTCCCTCACATCTGCATGCCCAGCCCTGCCGGGTTCTCCTACTCAGGTGTGTGTTGGAAGCCAGCACGGGGTTGTTCTACCTCCCAGCCTGAGCAATTCCTCTGGTTCTTCCTCCTCCTCTCCCTTCCCTGGAAACTCCTCGGACGCCCCCATCTTCCTGGTCATCAGCTTCCTGCCCCTAGCCCTCAATTTCTCATCCTTTCCTCTCTTTTTAGAGCAAACAAAGAGACTGCTTGTTACAGAGTCAGCCTCATGTCCCCATCCCAGGAGGAAGAGAAGGCCTTAGGAGAGGACGCTGCGTGAGTCTGGCTTCGGGGTGGGGAGTCCATTCCTGTCCCCGTGTCTCTTTCTCTCTCTCTCTTTTTGACAGACAGAGTTAGATAGTGAGAGAGAGAGAGAGAGAGAGGAAGGTCTTCCTTCCGTTGGTTCACCCCCCAAATGGCCGCCACGGCCGGTGCGCTGCGCTGATCTGAAGCCAGGAGCCAGGTGCTTCTCCTGGTCTCCCATGGGGTGCAGGGCCCAAGCACCTGGGCCATCCTCCACTGCACTCCCGGGCCACAGCAGAGAGCTGGCCTGGAAGAGGGGCAACCGGGACAGAATCCGGCGCCCCGACCGGCACTAGAACCCGGTGTGCCAGCGCCGCAGGCAGAGGATTAGCCTATTGAGCCGCAGCGCCGGCCACTTTCCTTCTCTTTTCAACCAATTCCCTTTTCTCCTCTGTTTTAGGAAACCCAGGTGCTCCAAGGCACCGAGATGGGAGACCAAGGGGCTCCTGGGGGCTCTGGCCTCTCGCCCGCCGAGGAGCAAGCTCTGCATTTCCGGGCAGCACGCCTCTGGGCTCTGCCTCTGTGGGTGCAGTTTGAGGACAAGGGCCGTGCTGCACCCCCGGCCCCCTCCACTCACACGCTCTGCCTCCCAGGTGCTCCCCAGCTTGCCATCGGGCAGGAAGCAGCCCTCTCCTCTGGTGGTTGTCTTTAGGGCTCAGCTTCCCCATGGCTTCCCAAACCCCAAGGCCAAGGCCAAGTCTCAGCTGCCGTCTGGGGGCGGGCCAAGGGCCACCTGCATCACTGCGCCGCCGCGCAGGTTGGTGCCCATGGGCGTGTGGCCCAAGGCATTTATCGACCCTTTCTCCAAGGCCTTGCCCAGGGAGTTTCTGCACAGTTGTATCCACACCAAAGGGAGCCGCACCCCGAGCCAGGGAGTCGCGTCCCCAGTGACAACACTTGCCGGAGGTGACAAGTCCTCTCCACCACACTTATTTAAATGAAAATGTATTTAGTCAATGATGGTCTCTCTCATGTGTCTACTGAAAGCCTGGTAGAAACCTGTTTTAACTGAGAATATATTTTTATCTCTTTGTTCTACTCCTAGTTGGGTTTTCTAGAGTCCTGCTCTTATGGGTAGGGTCTTGGTGGTCTATCAGGTATGGTTGCCCGTCACTGGGTAGTGGTGGACACTGTGACACTTGGGTCTTCGTCTATAGCATCCAGGTTCTTGTGAGCTGAACAGTCAGGTCCACCCAAGTCCAGTTCCTGCAAATGGGCCTCCCAAGAGGGGTGGCCATCCCAGCGCTGCTGGCCGCCTGCATCTGGAGTGCTAGTTCAAGTCTGGGCGACTCCACTTCTGATCCAGCTCCCTGCTGACAGCCTGGGAGGCAGCAGATGATGGTTCAAATGCTTGGGCCCCTGCCACCCACCCGGGAGACCCGGATGGAGCTCCTGACTTTGGCTTGGCCCAGCCCTCGCTGTTGGGGGATTTGGGGAGTGAACCAGCAGATGAGAGATCTCTTTCTCTGTCACTCTCTGTCACTTTGCCTTTCAACTAGATGAAAAACAGACATAAAAAAAAAAAAACTGGCTAAGATTTTGGCTGGAATTGTAGTGGATCCACAGGTCGGTGTGGAAAACTGACATCACTACCATTGGAATCTTTCCGTTGGTGAACACAGTGTGCATCTACATTTACGACATTATCCGCGGGGAATCTGGTCCAAGACTCCCGGGGAAATGCCAGAAACTGCAGATAGCACTGACACGTACACATACTTGTACCGTCCAGTGATAATGTGTAATCTGCAAATGATAAATTACCGGCAATAAATAACAAAACAGGTCGGTTGTAACAGCAGACTGTAATACAAGCTGTGTGAATGCGGTCTCTGTCTCTCTTTCAAAATACCGTATCGGACTTTCACCTTTGCCATTGAAGGACGTACTTTATGGCTCCTCTCTGGCACATCTGAGTGGCAGCATCACTCCTCTGTGCTGTGGGCCATGGCCGAGGAAACTGAGCGCTACCTGAACACAAGAACTGTGATGCCAGAACACCCAGTCTGACAGCCGCGACAGCTCCTAGGTCACTAACGTTGGGCGGTGCATACAGCACGGACATGCTGGGCCCAGTGGTCACTCCCGTCCAGGATGGCATGGGATGGCACTAGGTTTCATCATGCAATTTAAACATTTTAAATGGCTTATTTCTGGAATTTTCCACACAGGATCTGAGGGCCTGGGTTGACGTCTGTTAACAGAAAAACAAGGCTGCAGAGAAAGGGGCACTGCCGCAGGAGGGCTTTGCATTCTCTCCATATACCGTTTGCAGTTTCAGTGTTGAGGGCTTGCACGTTTGTCATTAGAATTACTCCTGGGCCTCTGATGTGTCTTTGCTGCTCTTGTGAATTTTATTTTTATAAGGAGTTTTTCTGAGCACTGTGATGGGTAGTGTAGGAAGGAGAGCCTCAGCAATATCTACCCTCACTTTTTTTATAAAGCAGCTTTAATGAGATATAATCCACATACCACGTAATTTAGCTAAAGCATACGATTCAGGGGGCTGGTGCTGTGGCATAAAGCCATTGCCTGCAGTGCTGGCATCCCATGTGGGTGCTGGTTCAAGTCCTGGCTGCTCATCTTCTGATCCAGCTCTCTGCTATGATCTTGGGCCCCTGCACCTGCATGGGAGACCAAAAAGAAGCTCCCGGCTCCTGGCTTCAGATCGGCACAGCTCTGGCCATTGCAGCCATTTGGGGAGTGAACCAGTGGATGGCGGACCTCTCTTTCTGTCTACCTCTCTCTATAACTCTGCCTTTTAAATAAGTAAATCTTTAAAAAATAAAGTATCCCATTCAATGGCTTTTAGAATATTCACAGATGTGTGCAACCATCCTCACAGACAATTCTAGAACATTTTAATTCATCTCAAAAAGGGTTTACAAGGGCAGGCAATTGGCACAGTGGTTAAGATGTTGCTTGAGATGCCTGCATCCCACATCACAGGGTCTGGGCTCAAGTCCTGGCTCTGCTTCCAATTCCAGCTTCCTACTAATGTGCACGCTGGGAGGCAGCAGGTGATGGCTCAAGTAGTTGGGTCCTGCCACCTGTGAAGGAGACCTGGAGTGAGTTCTGGGTTCCTGGTTTTGGGCTGATCCAGCCCTGGCTGTTGCAGGCATTTGGAGCATAAACTAGTGGGTAGATTCTCTCTCTCTCTCTCTCTCTCTGACTTTCAAATAAATAAAAATTTGAAATAAATAAAAATTTGAAGACTTCCATATTTTTTCAGTTTTGCCTAATTATTGCATTGGCTATACCTCCAAAGTGATGATTGGGAGGTGGGGCCAGTTAGGTCTTGAGGATGGAGCCCCGAGCAGGATGAAAGCTCTTATACAAAGCTCTTATACAAGGTCACGGAAGGACACAGAGGGGACCATCTGAGACAGCTGGCCGTCGCTGGACAATCTGTCCCCGCTCCAGCACCGGCCATGACATCTGCTTCCGTCACCTACCGTAGAGTGTTTTGTTACAGCTCCCACGTATTCTCTGTGTTTTGATGCAGTTGTCTTCTGTCTCAACCTTGCATTCAGCGACTTGGCTAAATTCATCTACTGAGTCTCGTAGTTTGCGGATGTTTCTGGATTTCCGAGGGACACAATCGTGTCACCCAGGAGTGATAATGTCTCTCTGCTTTCCCCCTTTCCAGTCCTGGCAGCCTCGGTCCCTTTTTCTAGTCTCCTTGTCCTGGAATGGATGCTAAGACAATGTTAAGTAGAGTGTGATGGCGACACTCGTATCTTAATCCTGGCTGAAAGGCCGAAGCTGCCGCCATTTCACCATTAGATATGATCGTTGCTGGAAGTGGTTGTTTGTAGATAGTCTTTATTAGATTAAGGACGTTCCTCTAACCTGACTGATCATTTGATTGTCAGTTGGCTGCTGAGTTTAAGTCCTGAGCTGCCACTTACTGGTCCCACTCCGGGGAAGTGGCTTGCCTTCTCCGAATCTTAGTTTCTCCATCCCAAGCTGGGGGTCTCTTTCTTAATGTTGCTCATGAAGTCGAGACTGCCTGGCCCGTGACAGGTGCCCAGTTAAAAGCCTGGCCCTACACTGTGATCTGCAATCATGTTTCACCCTCCTTACATCCGCCGTTCAACCCTGCACCCCAGAGTGCCTGAAACACAGAAATTGCCTCAGGAAAACGATCTTGCTGGGTCAATGTCAGTGTCCTCTTTTCTGGAACATTCTGGCCGTGATGCCTACTTTTAGGGTCTGAAGCCATATTTGCCCCAGAGAATCATGTCATTCCCCCAGGCACTTGCAAAATTCAGTGCCATCTCCCTCCTCCTCCTCCTCCTTCTTCTTTAAAGATGTATTTTATTTATTTGAAAGACAGAGAGAGAGGTCTTCCATCCGCTGGTTCACTCCCCAGATAGCCACAATGGCTGGAGCTGAGCTGATCTGAAGCCAGGAGCCAGGAGCTTCTTCCGGGTCTCCCACATGGGTGCAGGGGCTCAAGGACTTGGGCCACCTTCTACTGCTTTCCCAGGCCAAAGCAGAGAGCTGGATCAGAAGAGGAGCAGCCGGGACTAGAACCAGCGCCATTATGGGACGCTGATGCTTCAGGCCAGGGCGTTAACCTGCTGCACCATAGCGCCAGCCCCGCCAGCTCTCTTCTTGACTTTTTGTTTTTATTTTTATTTTTTATTTATTTTTTATTTTTTTTTTGACAGGCAGAGTGGACAGTGAGAGAGAGAGACAGAGAGAAAGGTCTTCCTTTGCCGTTGGTTCACCCTCCAATGGCCGCCGCGGCCAGCGTGATGTGGCCGGCGCACCGCGCTGATCCGATGGCAGGAGCCAGGAGCCAGGTGCTTTTCCTGGTCTCCCATGGGGTGCAGGGCCCAAGCACCTGGGCCATCCTCCACTGCACTCCCGGGCCACAGCAGAGGGCTGGCCTGGAAGAGGGGCAACCGGGACAGAATCCGGCACCCCGACCGGGACTAGAACCCGGTGTGCCGGCGCCGCTAGGCGGAGGATTAGCCTAGTGAGCCGCGGCGCCGGCCATCTTCTTGACTTTTAAAAAGTGTCTTAGGGCTGGTGCTGTGGCATAGTGGGTAAAGCCACTGCCTGTAGTGCCAGCATCCCATATGGGTGCCAGTTTGAGTCCCGGCTGCTCCACTTTTGAACAAGGTATCCTGGGAGCAGAGTCACCCTGTGTGATGCTCTCTCTGGGGTCCCCTAGTCACTGATCTCTCCCTTGCCAGCGGCTCTTGGAACCAATACTGGCACTGTTCTCGTCATATACCCGGCGAGGAAACCAGGGCTCAGAGGCATGAAGGCACGAATGGGATTCACAGGACACAAGTGCAAACCATGCACCCTCCCCCAGGGATGTCTCCCCCACTGTCCATCTGGCTTCGTCCTCCCAAACCCCATCAGACACCTTTGAAGGCAAAGACTGAAATACACAGGTGAATATTTCATGGTGCTGAGCACAGGGCTCAGGGGCTGAACAGGACAGCACTGAACATTCCCACAGTAGGATTTGCAGCACTAAAAGTGGCAATCAAGCGAGAGGAAGCTTCCAGTCCGAGACTTAAATACAACATATATACAGCAAACACAGATGAGGTGGTGCACAGCTTCGTGAGTCTGCGCAGACTGAACACACTTGCATGTCTAGATCAACTGACATTGACATTGACCCAGACGTCTTCCTGGCAGTCCCTCCCAGCCACGCCCTCTCTAGGTAACCACCAGCTTGCTAAGAGCATGGATGCCGTTAGCCTGTTTCTGTACTTTAAATGGAACCACAGTCAATGTTCTCTGTTGTCTAAGAGTCATCTGTGTTGGCGCAAATAGCAATAGTTTGTTCTTTCTCTTTTCTATATAGCATTCCAGTGTGTAATGATCCCATAATTTATTTACCCATTTTTTAAAGATTTATTTTATTTATTTGAAAGACAGAGTTACAGAGAGGTAGAGACAGAGAGAGAGGTCTTCCATCTGCTGGT